CACACTGACTGGGGCGCCTGGCACTGTGGGGGGGCAGGGTGGGGGCAGGGAGCCGTGTCGGGCAGGGCTGAGGTTCTCCCGGCTGTCCAGGCAGGCCGAGGGTGTGCTCATGATGGTGCTGCTGACCGCCCTGACTGTGCGCCGCTCGGACCCGTCCTTCTCCACCTGCCAAGGCGGCCAGGACCCCCTGGACTGGAAGGGTGAGTGTCCCCGCCCAGGGAGCCCCCGACGCAGGCGAAGAGGGCAGGGCCGGGGCCTCGATCTGCGCCAGCTCTGGGAACCGCCCTCCACCGGCCCTTCTGCTGTCCATGGTGGGCGGCTGCTGGGCAGGGGCAGGGTGGGATCAGAGGGCAACAGGCAGGACCCAGCTCATCATGGCGGGAGCAGCCCTGAGGCCCTTACAAAGCCCAACCTCTATACCCTGCGTGAGTCGTTCTCACATGAGATCAGGAAGCCCGAGTCAGGTGGTTCAGTGGACAGAGCACCGGCCTGCGGACCGAAGGGCACAGGCTCCTCCCCGGCCCAGACCCTGGCCAGGGTGCGTGCAGGAGGCAACCAATCGATGTGCTTCTCTCACATCGATGTTCCTCTCTGTCTTTCCCTCTCTCTTCCACTCTAAGAATCAATGGACACATATCCTCAGGTGAGGATTAAAATGAGGTCAGGAAAAGAAAAAGAGATGAGAGAGGAGAGACAGACACAAAGGCAGATAGACAGAAAGACAGAGTGCAGATGGCACAGAGAGGTGGGGTGTTGCACCCGGGCTCCTCGACCGTGCCAGCGACAGCATCTGTGACCTGCTCTTGGGGCAGGAAGGCTGGGACGGGATCTGCTCCTGGTCACTGTGGTCGTGGTCAGTGGGGTCAGCTGGGCTGGCTCCATGGCCAGGCCTCAGGCCGGCTGCTGTGTCCCCCCAGTGTCCATGTTGACGATGGCCGGCCTGTGCACCCTCCTGAGCTGCTGCCTGGTACTCCTCTTCCACACCCCCTACCGGCGCCTGCAGGCCGAGGCCCGCTCGAGCCCCTCCCTCCAGGACTTGGGGAGCCCGGCCGCCAACCACGCACCCCTCCAGCAGGCCCTCCCCCCAGCCCTGTTGGGGCACCCCCAGGGCCCGAGCAAGGATGCTGCAGGGGCGGCTCATTCCTAGAGCCTCCTTGGACATGCAGGGACTGAGAGGCAGCCTGGGGAGTGAAGGAGCCGGGAGAGGTGGCTGGGGCAGCCACCGCTGAGCCCGGGCAGGTCCTACAGGGGCACGAGGACTGCAGTGGGCACAGTGCAGGCGCAGCATATGGGGACATGGCTTATGGGGAGCTGGACAGGTTGTGGGTCCTGAGGGCCCCGGAGGTCAGAGACTGGAGTGCACAGGGGTGGGGAGGGCCTTCCTTGAAGGGGCCCATCCCAGAGCCTCTCTCAGCCTCCATTACCGAGTGACCAGACACCCAGCCTTTTGTTGACTGGGGTGGCCTGTGTGCCGAAGGGCGTGGCCTGGGCGCTGATGGGGGTGGTTGGGTGCCAACAGGGGCCTGGGTGCTGACGGGTGGTCCGGGCTATTCTGGGGGCAGAACAGATGGAGGGTCCCACAGGCTGATGCCGCCCAGGCCCTCCGACCCCAGGTGGACACGTCCCCTCCCCACAGACACTTGCAGGCAGGTTGGTGGGTTCGGGTTTATTGAACTGGCCCCACCCAGTGGGGGTGGGGTGGGGCACCCCTCATTCCTCCTTCTCCTCCCCATGGGTGAGCACATAGCTCAGCGCCTTGTAGTCCAGGTTGCCTGCAGCGTCGATCTTTGCAAATTGCAACATCTGGTCGACCTGCGGGCAGGGCGGTGGGTGTCAGGCCCTGCAGGAGGGCAGAGCAAGTGGGTCCCAAGGGGTGCAGCCTGAGGGCGACAGGCCCCCACCTCCAACCTGCTCTGGGCTTGTTTCTGTGCTTGTGGGGATGAGGGGGGCTGGGGCTCAGCCTCTGGGTGTCCCTCCCACACTAACCCTCCAGCCTCTCAGGGCCAGGGCCCATCCCCAGCCAAGCCCTGGGGTCCCCCAGGCCGTGGGGGAGGTGGGGTGGGGCCCAGGGCCAGACCTCCTCCGTAGTCATCTTGTCAGCCTGGGACATGAGCAGCCTCTTGATGCTGAGGACAAGGAGGGGGCACCGGGTTAGGCTGCTCTGAAGAAAGAGTCAGCCCTGGCCGGTGTGGCTCACTGATGGAGCGTCGGCCTACGGACGGAAGGGTCCCGGGTTCAATTCCGGTCACGGGCACATGCTGGGGTTGCGGGCTTGGTCCCCGTGCAGGAGGCAGCCCATCAACGATTCCCTCTCATTGTTGATGTTTCTCTCCCTTTCCCTTCCTCTCTGAAATCAATAATAAAATATATATATATATATATATATATGGTCAGCG